CTATGTCATAAATGTCATTGACTGATGGAATTCCAAATCATATCATACTTATTTGGGCATCACTATCGTTGTATTTGACACTTTGCTGATGAATTTAAAAAAAAAAAAACAGTTCAGTGGCGCAGACTAGATGATATAAACAAGGGAAGATTCATCAGACCTCTCTTCATTTCAATGCGGCCACGTTGGTAGCATTGAAGGCAATATGGAAGAGGAGAGAACTTTTCTTTCTGTTTTTTCGCGCAATCTATCAACGAAGTGACGACATAATTTTGTAGTGGCTTGTTATACTTAAGCCGCGAAGAGCACTAACTCTTCTTGAACTCATGTGTGGCTTGTCATTGTTTCACATCAAGCCTTCCAATTATACAGCATTCATTCAAAAAGACAATTTGTATCATGATAACTAAATGTCCAGAGCCATTATCTCTCTGTTTTGAATTGGTCATTACGCTTTCTTCTGGGAGATGTTCAGCTGGTGGCCTTGAATATAACGAAAGGTTCCGACATTATTTGGCATCAGAGACTTCTTCGCATAATGCCAAGATATGGCTACCATTCCAGCTATGCCTTGTTTTATCGAGTTTTTATTTCAGACAGATTGCTCCATGTGATGATGGACGGAGTATCTTCCGATACCATAGTCATCAATTCTAGTATTCCACAAGGATTCACTATGGCTGGTACCAACATTGGTCTCACTCAATATCATTGATCTGCTGAGAGGAAAAACCTGCCATATCTACAGCTTTGATGCAGGAAACAGTAGATTCTTTACATACATCGTTCTCTTGTGGAAGTCCCATTGCATCTCAGGAACCTGGAAACGACGAAGGCAAGTCAACGCTTTCATTGAATATCTCACAGCCTGGGGAACAAACAACCTGGTTGAATATAATGAAACCAAAACTCAAGCCTGTATTTTCTCTGGAACACCGAACTCAGTACACCTGAAATGTTAAAGTCTGGTACCATAATTTCTACACGAAGTCTACAAATTACTGCTGAATCCATCGCAGGAACAGTTTCCTGAAGATTCGGCTTTTTTCTATCGAAAAGATTCGATACACGTCAACTTCCCAACTCACTCGACTTGAAATCTTGAAAGCATATAGATTTGGTCCATTTCAGTATCCACTCATGGGGTTCAGCACCCAAACATAAGCTGATAATCTTATATTACATCCAGAGACGAGCCTCATGTGATGATACACTCACTGATACCTTGACATTAGTGAAACATTGTAGAAAAGTCAGCAACCTTCCATTTTCCCACAAATATTTCCACGGAAAGTGTTGTTCAGGAAGCTCGGCAACCATTTCGTAATTATCAGCAATACCAGGCCGAGGAACTCGACAAAACCAGTCAGCACATTTTCTTATCATCAACCTCAAGATATGTCGAACAAGTCTGCATCAAATTTCGCCCCAATGTAGGATTGTAGATTGTAGATTGTAGATGGGTCGTATAGGCTGGGAGACCTCTCGATCACTGCGACCAAGAAGATCTATTGTGATTACCCTTATCTAGTTTTGGTCCTCTAACCCTAAACTTCTGATGAAGCCTACAATTTTCCTGACGGTTGAATTTCCCACCTCAGCAGGGATGAGATAGACCTGTTCTAGGTGGTTCAGCCTTTGGCGGACTAATACTTCACATGAACAGAGTATGTGTTCCGCGGTTTCGGCCGCATTGTTAAAAAAGCGGCAAGTGTCAGTCTCCGCCAGGCCCATCTTTTTGAGGTGGTACCTCAGAGGGCCGTGTCCTGTGAGAAAGCCTATGATAAGCTTTAGCTCTGGTTTGCTGAGGCTGAGTAGCTCTTTGGCTCAGTTCTGCGAATGGTTGATGAACCTTTTCGCTTGTCGTTGACCTGGAGTTGCTCTCCAGTAGGAGGACTTTTCAATTTCTTTCCATTTCCTGTGTTCTTTCTTTAGGTGACATTTGCTTATCCCACAAAAAAGATCAGGACCAAAAAGTGCAGATGCTGCACCTTTTCTTGCAAGGCGATCAGCTGCCTCATTTCATTTGATTCCTTCATGCCCTGGAACCCACATAAGTGTGGCTTTGTTTTTCTTTCTCAGTTGCATGAGTGTTTCTAAGCAGTCCCATGTGATCTTTGATGTGAAAACGAATGATTTCAGGGCTTTCAGTGCGGCTTGGCTGTCTGTCCAGATATATTTGTTGGCACCCCTCAGACCTTTGCTCAGGCACCTTTGGGTGCAAAGGTTGATGGCATGTATTTCAGTTTGGAAGATAGTGAGATAACAAAGCTTGAGAATTCTCTGCCAAAGTGAGTTTTCCTTAAAACTCATAATCTCAGAGATTGAAAAAATCTATGACCGACTTCCTTCCCTCATCCTCCATAGATGTGCTCTTCAATAGATGAAGGAAGGGTTGTAGGTCAACAACGGAGAATAGTAAATCAATTCCTCATGAAACATTCGATTCGAAAAGTAACATGCGTGTTAAATAACCATCAATCACACTGATGTCAGTAGATTATTGCTAGGTGGTTGAACAAAGTTCGTTAAACGGAACAATTCTAGCCAAATATTGGATTTTTACAATTATACGTTAATGGACAGTCCGTCTGAATACGTGAATCTGAAATCAGACAAAATTGACCAACTATGCATAAACTTTCAATTATGACAATGAATTACGTTGGGAAATATAGAATGACAAGTAAACCCAATGCAATCATAAAAAAAATCATTTGGTCTCGAAAATATAATCATGTTGTGGAATGTTGCGGACGTGTGTAGTTTTTGTCATGATGAATTAATGTCGATTTCCAACGCTTTGGTGCTCTGATGATCGATATTATTCATCAATGTTATTATTACCAATTCAAATGGACTGCTGTATAAATAGGTACATAGGTAGGTATCTGAAAATTGTTGAAATCAACTGACAAGCATTTCACTTTGAAAAGTCACATATATTTTTTGCAATGGTTCAAGGGGGAAATTTGAGTTACTATAAGGGCAACGAACATTCATAAACCTTATGGTTTTATGTATCAAAACCTAATAATAGCAAACACTACGTTCTCCGTTGTTGAACTGCTCAGATTGAATAAATAGATAGATAGGAAAAAAAGTTTTGTTGCACCAACAAAATAATTTTGGTAATTTTTTTTTGGTAAATTGAACACAATTTTGCGGAATCAACAAAATATATATTCATTCCAAATGAGCAACCTATTCGAAGAGACAAAAAAGTTTGGTTTAAATATTTGCTCACTTGAGGAAAAGTTTCATTTCATTCAATATATATAGTTGACAGAAAACAAATTTTGTTGATCCAACTATCATCTCATTGTTCAATCAATTATATGCATTTTGTCTATTCGACAAAATTAAATTAATTTTAAAAAATATTCAACTGAATACAACATCATATTTTGTTGAGTCAATAATCATTTCATTGCGCAACCAATCAACGGTTTTTTTCTATTCTACGAAATTGAATTGATAATAACATCATTATATTTTGTTGATTCAACACAACACTCTATAAATATGTTGTTATTTCAAACAAATTAGTTTGTTGAACAGAACCCACAAGAACATTATATCAAACAAATATTTTGTTGGATGATTATATAGTTGCATTTTTGCAACCAGGTGGCGTATCTTTCAAACTCCCTACGCTCGCCTCGATTGGGGTGTACATATACCTACCTAAAACATCCGTTTATATACTTATATTAGGCTGTCCTAAAATTTCTTATTATATACGCTTATACAAGCTAATAGTCTGGAATCAACTGAGGAAATTGATCTCTAATTTCTCTCAGTCTTGAAATTCAGTTATTGGATTTCTTTTTTATCATTCAGCAAAATATTTTGTCAATTCTAAACACAATTTTATTCATCGAATAATATATTTTGTTATTTTAACATATTCACTCTCTGAAAAACTGATAATTTTGTCACTTGAATGAAATGATATAATCATTTCAATCAACAAAATCGTGCATAAGAGCAGAATTATTGTATTATAGGAACAAAATAGTCTTTCTTTATTCAACCAATTCCTGCTGTTGATTTGAATCATTAATGAGTCAAATGAATTCTGAATTACACTCGGAATTACATTACCGACTTTTCAAAATGATTATGAATGCAATATTGCATTGGATGGTAGTACATTATACAAGTACCGCACTAATATTGTGGGAGGGTATTGCATTGAATTTTATTTAAAACTGTTCAGAAATCATAGCAACTTTGTGTGTCCCACAACTTCCAGGAAATATGGCTTAGATAAGTTCAATGAGTATCCATCGAAAAGCCCCCAGCCCCCCCATATGTACCTTATTTTTTTTTATAGAGATAAAAAAATTATATGCGGAAGTTGGATGCCGCAATGAATCCTTCTCCACAGCTCTCATCAGAAGTTTTACAGGGTGATTTCTAAAAGCGTGAAAAGCCACAAATTATTCATTTTTTGAACACCCTGTATTTTATATTTTTTCCGCAATCTGTGAATTTTTGTGATCACAAAAATAATATATATAGGGCGATACATTTTATTTTCACTTCTTCATCACCACTCTTTTGAGCCTAAAGAAACGAATTTTGTCCGATTAATTGGTGATCATTCGATCAGTTCGGGAATGTATTTGAAAATAATGCAATATACATCTGTCAAATGATCCTCATTCATGTCTAACACGATATCTGTAGAAGCGATATCATACTGTATACATGTATGAGATTCTGTGATCAGAAAAAATCACGGATTTCTTGAAAAATGTTATGAACAGCTTTAAAAAAATAATTTGTGCATGGTTTGTCACGCTTTCAGGGATCACCCTCCAAAACTCTAGACAAGGGCTGTGGAAAGACCTATTTGCGACATTTAGATTCCGCATATTCTTTTTTGGCCTTCTCGATGGAAAATAACCTTATGTACGATATACGATATCTATTGGAATTCGTGAAATGTAAGCGAAATCATTCGAAAGCAAACCCAGTATCGACGGTCATACCTTGCCATTAGATTACATCACGCACGTCGATGCACAAAACTTCGTGTGGCAACGTCAACTCTCGAAGTTGAAGCGTTAGCGGAGTTCCCTTTCGTTGGGAGTAACTGCGTGTACTGAGGACCTATACCGGCTGAAACTCCTGAAAACCGAATCGGTGTACTGCGCGCTGCGGAGGGTGATAAACTCCCCCGCAGAAAAATGGTGTACATTACCCGGAACACGGGACAGAAGTTATTAGAGCAAGAAAAAGAGATTACGAAAGTCTAATAACTCTACACACGAAGCGTGTCACACTTTTCATTGTGAATCTGAGAGTTTAGGATCAGCTGTATACAGTGTGGAGACTTTAATTGTAATAAATTCGTTAGCGCAAGATGAATGATTTTCCTGACAATTCTCGACATATGTCAACGATTCATTGCAAGCAATATCCCTCCAGGGGTGGCTGCAACCACACACAACATGATTTTTCAAATGTTTGTGACCCTTCATTGGAAAGCTGGTGGAAAGAGAAATCCAGCATAATAGTTAATTTTATCATTTTAGTGTTTCATACGTTTGAAGGTTGCAAAAATTTGAAATGTGATTTTGAAATCAATTTTTTTTACCTCAATCTATCGCTTAAAATGCAATGCGACCCCCATACATGCTGCAAACTGGGCTATGATAAGTATGGTGGATTCCTCTTTCAACCAGCTTTCCAATGAGGGGTTGCAAGCCATGGGGTTGCTTTTGAGAAAAACATGTTGGGGTAGATTCCTGCTGCTGAAGGGTTTGATCCTCCACATCGCTCGCCAAATGTAGGTAAATACATTTAAACGTTGACGTACGTATCTCGCGAATAATTTTGAGGAATATCATTCATTTCTTCAGTAGCGAATGTATTCCAGTTAAGGTCTCCACCCTGTATAACAACTTGTTATGTACAGTGCATTTCATCTTACTTGATTTCCGGACCCCTTCTATATCTACCAAGTTGAGTTATAAATGATAATTTGGCGCGGGGAACTGTGCCTTACAGAGAATTTTACGCAGCGTCCAGAGGCATACTCGAATATTTTTGGTATTTGAGATATGAAACAAACTTATATATTTTTCGATAGAACACCTTTAATTCCACTATACATAGGCTTTTAGAAGAGCTAAATAAACACTAAAACATTGAATTATCATGACATTTTGCTAGTGGACTGTAAATTTTTCATAAAAATGTTCTCATTTGATATGATTTCATAAAGAGGTATGGCGAAAAAAAACACTAACACTAATTCACATACGCGATTCATAAAATTTAGGTATTTAAGTATCTAATTATTGTCACATAATGAACCACATTCAATTATCCTCCAAGTTGAACTTGGAAACTTCATGGCCCACTAGCAGAAATTCATCATTATTCAATGTTTCAGTGTGTATTCAGCTTTTATGTAAACCCTATGTGTAATAGCTCTATTTATAAATCAAAAAAGCAAATGTATCCATTTCTTCCCGCGTGTGAAGTTTGATGCCCGATGCGTAGCGTATTTGAATCTGACCTAAAATCAATACGACACTTCTGTTACATTGAATTTGTTAATTGTGTAATTGCATTTCATTAGAAGTTTCGATTGAGTAAGTTTTGGAGTATGAGGAAGTGTATGAGATCATTGAAGTTCAAAAATGAAATTGCTATTTGTTATATTATATTGATGGAGACACTGCTTTGGTACTCAAGTAGCACATATATTATACTTATTTTCAACCAAGGAAGCAAACTAGAGCCATTTTATTTTACCTCCCACGAAAAGTAATATATTTTTTCTTCAGTGGCAGAAAATTGACGAGTTTGTGTCCTCAAATGAGTGAGCAAACGCTTACTTCCGATGCAAACAGTAGATGAAGTATTATACATCATTTTGAAGAGACAAAAAAATAGTTAATTCACTGAAAAAATAAGAAATAGGGTTTTTCATTGAAGAATATATAGGCTTGTGTGGTATCACTATATACCCGATCCCCGAAAGGAATGATTGTTGAGTAAGTACTCCTCTGGATTCTGCGCAAATTCCTCTGGTAGGCACAGTTCTCAGGACAACATTATTTTTCTTCACTTCGTAGATATAGAAGGGGCCCAGAAGGTATGAATTTTCAAAATTGCCCTGTATCTCATACACAAAATCAAATATGCAAAATCTGATTGGGCCATCTTGAATTTGAAAAAAATTGTAGAATGATCACAAGGCTCTATCTTCCATAACAACTGAGGAACCTGACAGTCTCAACCAGAATGGGATGCACTGTACCCTATTGGTTATTCATATTTGGAATTATGTATACAATACTCTTGATAATCTTGTACCAATCAAGTTATGGATGAGGATGAATGACTCGTTTTATATAGCACTCTGTATAGTGTTGTAATTTGTTGGAACTTTGGTATTAACACACTGATTGAACCATTGACGGTCATTGATCACAAATCAGTTCCCTCACGGTCAGGTTCACATATCGAGTATATTATGTGACAGAGATTCGTGGTACGTCCCCATTTTCCTCCTTTGTTTCTCTAGCTATATTTCTGGAATCTGGGATATTGAATAATATTCAATATTGAATTAGTATGCTGTTTAAACGGCTTTTTTGGCATATTTGGAAAAACAAATCAACCTACAGAACTTTCGAAATTCTGTGAATCTGATGATACTTTGTATTGTATATTTCATTCGTTTGAAATAATCCCAAAATCATTCCAAATTTGTAAATTAATGCATCGCATTATTGATCAATAGTATTTTATGCAACGATCATGTATTAATAGCCATTACATCGTCGTTGCATACACTATTTTTCCTATGACCTATTTATTGGTCATACACCATCGATCAAAGTGCTTTGCTGAAACCATCCATCTGGTCTAGGGGTCATATGAATAGAGTGAATTTATTGTTTATAGTTATCGATATATTTGTAGTTATCGATATATCTATAGTTATCGATAGTTATTGATAGCTATCGATTGTTATCGGTACTAATCGATAGGTGTCAATAGTTATCGATATATCGATAATTATCGATATTCTTGAAATCATATTTTGTTATTTTCCCAGGCCTACTCCTAACCCTCCTACTTCATCACATAATATTTGATTTTTATCTATCGAGCTATAGGACAGTATCAGAGATATAAAAGTGATTATTTCCTTCCTATGATCTCAACATAAAACAATCAAAAAGTTCAATTGAGTTAAGCTTCCTTGTATATATAATTCAGAGTATACGTGGATATACAAGTATCTGGAACGAAATTGTCCTCCTGCTTCGCGGTCTCATTATTTCAACTGTCAAACTGACACTCTTTGTAATTATGCAACAAGTACTCTCCTCTACTGAGGAAAATTTCTATTATCCATAGTCAGAAATCGAATTACCCCAGCAAGAAACTCTAATAGCATAGGGGACAAGCGAGTTATCACCTGTGATTATAAAGTCGACTTTGCTGATTATAACCCACCTGCGATTATTAGATATAAAACCTTGCTGTCACTAGCGAGTGCATCTGTATGATGCTATTAGACGATGTTTCTGTAGTAGGTATCTGACTTTGCTACCGCTAGTGAGTGCATCTAATAATGGGAGTAGGGCAATGTTATAATCGTAGGTAGGGAACTTTGCTACTCTTGATGGGAGCTCATATAGATAGTTGCATGACCTTCTTACTGTATAGTTATTCAGTTATTTTCCAGGATTGTTGTCATCAAGAAAGGTGAAATTTTGACTGAAATCCAATTTCACTTCCCATAATTTCAACCCTGATGTTTGGTATGAATAGCAATTTATTGATTCCCAAAGAAAATTTCTGACCAATGATCTTTGAAATGCAATAGATCAATTCATTTATGCACCCTCAGGAAAAACCGAAGGGTTTTTTGAGTAATTGATGAGGAAATATTTTTTCTGAAACCTTCTGAAACCATTGTATTTCGAAAACTAGGCAAGTTATTGCAGATGCGTATAGGAAAACAAAATGTTACCAGTAAAATCATTCAAATAATTTCATCACCTGGACATTTTTGCTCACAATAAGTTCTTAGACCAGATTCAATAGAGTAGAGAAGCTCTGAAACATATTTGACCATTTTGAAGTTTCATGATACCAAAGAGAGGAGAATGTTATTGAGTGTAAAATATTTGAATTTCAGACAAAATACCTCGAAAAAACTCACCTTCATCGTTCCATCAATCCTGGTATAATAACTGAAGCACTCAGATCTACGAAAGCACTGAAAGGGACACAAAAGATTTTTTTATCTGTTTGAAAATGCTTCCATTTTATATTTGAATTCAGATTCTCAGATTCAGATTTTGAATAATGAATTGAATTCAAGAGGGGCAGTATTCGTAACTGTCGTGTCGTCGAGATTGTCGTCCTGTACATGGGTTTGCATCAAGAGCCCAACTGTGAATGATTGATCAAGCAAGATGTCTGACAAATGTTCACATAGAGGGGGTCAAATCAGCGAAATATCGAATAACGATGAGTAGGCGCTAAATAACCCCAAGTTGGTTCGTCAAATATTATTTTCGTGGCAGACTGACAGTTGTATCATTGGAAGTGAGTGCAGTTCTATGCGATGAACCTCGCAGCCACAAGCATATAACTCACTAGTAGTAGTTCAGCTAGACAATTATAAAAAAAATCATGCTGTCCCAGAGTGGCTGCTACAGCAGTAAACCTTCCTGTGGCAGGAAATTCACTTTCAGCAAAGTCGTTATTGCTATCATAGGATTTGAAGGTGCTGCTTCTATTCGAAAATGTATATAACGGTAATATGATTTCTTGTAATGGTAGCAAGAAATATCTCAGCAAAAACTCTAATAGCACAATTTTCCTCCGTGATATACTGATAACCGTCCGAAGTTTTCTTCTGAAAAATCACTTGCGGCAGCATCTTATTTTCAAGAACACAATATACCCAATTTTAATATTCAGATTTTTCAGATCACGTTTTATCATTTAGAAGCAATATCTGAAGTTTTGTGTTTACACAACTCTGAAAATGATGTCATGTAGGTAACGCCCCCCATTGTTAACACTGACTCTACACCGCCTAAATAACGCACATTAAAAAAAATGAT